TCTTGCCCGGGCCTCCTCCCTCCTCCCGCTCCTGACCCCGCGCGGGGATCTTCCCACTTCCCCTGACCCCCCTCCTCCTACCCGGGCCTCCTCCCTCCTCCCTGACCCCGCGCGGGGCTCCTCCCGCTCCCCCGCCACTCCTCCTGCCCGGGGCTCCTCCCGCTCCTCCCGGACCCTGACCCGGGGTCCCTCTCCCACTGCCCCCCCTCCTCCTACCCGGGGCTCCTCCCTCCTCCCTGACCCCGCGCGGGGCTCCTCCCGCTCCCCGCCCACCCACCCCCACTCCTCTTGCCCGGGCCTCCTCCCTCCTCCCGCTCCGGACCCCGCGCGGGGATCTTCCCACACTCCCCGCTCCCCCCCTTCTCCTGCCCCTCCCTCCCTGCCCCGCGGGGCTCCTCCCACCGCCCCGCTCCCCGCGCGGCGCCGGGGTCACCGCCCACTCCCGCCCGCCTCGGGCCTTTCCGGGGATCTGGAGGCTCCGGGCACGTGACCGGGCGCGCACCCAGCAGGTCGCCGCCGGGAGGTGCCGGCCGCGGTGGCTGGATTGTCCCACAGACCTCCCGGGGTGGGCCGCCCGCAGGCGCCGGCTTCCTTTCCCAGGTTTCGACCGCCCGACGACCCACCTGAGTCCCCAGCCTCGTCCCACACCGCGAGGTGCACAGGACGGGGCAACTCCTTCCTGATGAGCGCTGCGCACAGGCTTCCCGTCAGCCCGGCGCCCACGATGAGCACCCGCGCCATGGCCCGGGGTCTCGCGGCGAGGCCGCGCCCCGCTCTCGGGCTCCGCGCTCCAGGCCCGCCCCGCCCGCGCGCAGCCCCGGCGGCCGGCCTGCAGGGGGCAGACGGGAGGCGAGCGCGCCGCGGTTGGGGGGGCGGGCCACGCCCGGGTGCCCCGGGGACCCTGGCCGCCCCTGGCCTCGCCGAGCGGGGCAGGGATGCAGGATGGAGCGTGGGAGCACCGCCCCCCACCCCGGGCCGTTGTCGCTGCGGGCGTGACACCCCAGTCCGGCAGTGCGCGGGGAGGGCTCGCACCCGCGAGGCGCGGAAGGCGGCTGCTCCCCTCCTCCAGAAGCACGTGCGAATACCGGGCTGGTCCTCAGACTGGCCCCGAGCTCTGTGGCTGTCCTGTAACCCTGAGCCTCAGTTTCTCCATCTGCGAAATGGGAACAGTAACATCAGCGTGTCAGATCTGTGACGATTGCGGTGGTTTGGTTCACGAGAAAACTTGAGATCACTCAGCTGTTCAGTAAATTATTTCTAGGTCAGAACACATTCCAAATGCTCTCAGGGATATAAAGATGAGCAAGACAAGGTTGCAGGCCATTCTCACTGGTTGATTTCCCCCCAACATTGTCCTGGAAATTCTCAGTGAAACAACAAAAAGCCTTGGGAGCTATGAACTATTAAAAAATAAAGAATTCAATTACCCTAGATTGTGGATAAATTATCACCTGGAAGGTTAGAGAAACTGAGTAGCTATGAGAAGTGCTAAGAAAGTTGACAATGGTAGACAATGTAAACATTTAAAGATTAGTTTTACTTTATGTCCCCGTCATAAAAATTACCATACATCAAATTGGTGATGGATCAATATTACATATATCTGATAAAAGACAAGAAAGTATAGATGAATTACAGCCTGTAAAAAGACATAAAAATAAAAGCTGGAGCTGAACAGAAAAACATTAAATACATAGTTATTTACAGCTTGTATGCTACAAAATGCGCAGGACAAAATATAAATAGTGAGCAAACTGGAGTACAGTTTGATAATATATGTAAAGCCCTAAAACTGTGTCCTTTAAATGAGACATACCAAGTCTAGACATTTATCTTGGGAAAATAATAGATAGAAATACATTAACATTTACATAAAAACGTACTTACCTCAATGTTATTAGAAACGTTGACGTCTACAACCAACAGGGGATTTAGCTGATTTGATTATGGCTATCCAAACTTCTTAATGAAGCTACTAAGAAAATATGGCTTTAAATGTTTAAGGATCTATAGAAAATTACTCATTCTATAATGTTGAAAAACTGGCTACAAAACTAGTGAAATCCCAGAGTTCTGTAAACATACGCAGAGACAAGTACATACGCAGTATTAGAAAGTCGAGAGGAAACAGATGTATTTACATTTTTCTATTAATTTTAAATGTTTTAGAAAGTCCATATATATCTACTAATTTATTTATTTTTATAAGCAAAATAAAGCTGATATGCTAGACAAAAGAAGTTAATCAATCCCTGCCTTAAAGCTGTTTACAGTCTAAGAGATTTCACAACCACATTCTAAAAATCTCAGAATTGTCTGGAAAGGAGATTTGAGGTAATCTATTTCGACTGCCCTCTGCCACCAGCATATAATGTAAATATAGACACTAAGTTAAAGTGAGTTTGCCCAAGTTCACACAGTATCGCAAGGATGAGACCAGAGCACGTCCTCCTGCATTGTTTTGAGTCTGTTCTGCTCATGTCCACCATCTCCTGCTTCCTCATTTCTTGTCTAATCAGGCCTAAAGCCTCATGGTCATCTTCAGTAGCTTCTCTTTTCCCACTCTTGTTAACTATTAATTAGTCCTCTGGTCTTTTTGACCTCTTCTCCTCTGTCTCTTGTATTCAATCCCATGCAATTCTACACCAGTAAAATCCAGCTTTACTTTTTTTTTGAGAAAGAGAGCATGGGTGGGGAGGGGCAGAGAAGCAGGGAGAGAGAATCTCAAGCAGACTCTGTGCTGAGCTCAGTTTCATGACCCTGAGATTGTGACCTGGGCTGAAATCAAGAGGGGGATGCTTAACCAACTGAGCCACCGAGGTGCCCCAAGCAGTCATTACTTCTTAACTGGATTATTAGAATGACTTTCTACAGGCTCCCCATTCCTCATCTGTGTTCTCCACTGAGCTTCTGGATCGGTCACTCCTACTCTCGGAAAACTTGCAGTGGCTCTCAGTTTCATACCGAATCAAGTTCAACTGCTTGGCATAAAAAGTGTTCAGTGATATTTCCCCAACCTATGTTCATATCTTGTCTTGGTAATCTTCATATGTCCTGTGCTATAGCTAAAGAGAATTATCTTATGTTCCCCAAACATATCCTCAGATTTTCCACATATCTCTGAAAGCAGTAAGCCTTTGCTTATGTGGTTCTTGAGTGCAGAGCATACTTTTTTTGACTGGTGTTTCCAGTAATTGTTCATTTGCATTAATTCTTCACTCTTTTCCTGTTCTGCTGTGATCAACAATATGTTCTTTAAAAAGTTATATAGAATTTGGGATTGTTATGACCACTGAATAGAGGTAGCCATGGTGGCTTGTGATTTCTCATTAGTCTTTAAGGACTAGTATAGCCACCCACCTTAGCCCCCAACCCCAACCTCCAGAGTAGGTTATATTAGTCCAGAGCTATAACTGTAGGGTTGTAAGTCAATCGTTGGCTACTGGTACTAGTGTATCTTTCTGAGAAATTTGAGAATGGTTAGACAACTAAAGAAAGTAGGATTGCACAATAGCTAGAACAGGTGTGTTTATATATACTCTTCCTAGTCACCTTGACCTTTTCTCTTCGTTCTTATTCCTGATCTTTGCAAGGCTGACTATTTCTGCTCATTTAAGTCCCTCTTAAAAGTCATCTAAAGGAAGCCTTCTGTAACCATTTGACTTAAAACAACCACCCTGTGACTCTATTCCACTAACCTATTTAATTTTCTTCATGTCACTTAATCACTTTTAGAAGTTATCTTGCTTTTTGCCTACTTGTTTATTGTTTACCTAATAGAATTTAAGCACCAAGAGGGCAGAAACATTGTCATAGTCAATACAGTGTCCATGGCAACTAGAAGCAAAGTTAGAATTCTCAGGAACAGAGCTCACCGTTTACCTAGAAGGTATACAAACCTTTCAAGGATAATGCTTAAACTAAGATAGGCCGAATGGTAATTCAGTGGGGCAGTTTCAGTATTGAAAATACTTTCTCAGAGAGTGCTTTTTTATGGTATAATATGACTGTAATAATACAAAAATATCATGTGAGTCAGCAAAGGATGTCTATTTGTGTGATGCATGGCTCTGTCCTCACTGTGTTATTGATAACTTCAATAATCATTGATGGCAAATCTAACAGTTTTTAGATGGCATAAAATCAAGATGAATAGCTTCATTGGGTTATTTTAAGATCAGGAGTTTAAGAGATTTCAATAGAAGTCACTGAAACATTTAACAACAACAACAAAAAAGGTGGACAAGGTTATTTGAAGTCTTACCCTTGTATCTAGAAAATAGTTTTACAGAATCAGGGAAAGAGAGCTTAGAATTTTACTTGGCCTGGGTGCCTGGGTGGCTCAGTTGGTTAAACGTTTGACTCTTGATCTCAGCTCAGGTCTTGAATTCAGGGTTGTGAGTTCAAGCCCCATGTGGAGCCTACTTAAGAAAAAAAAATTATACTTGGCCTTAAGTTCATTAAGAGTTAACAGTATAATAGAGCTGTCAAGACAAAAAGTAAATATAAACCTAAGCTATGATAAATGAATTACAGTGTGCAGAACAAGAGAGGTGATAGTCCCACACTATTTAGACTGGTCAGATCACATTTAGAATACTAGGTTCAATGCTGGACCCCAGATTTTAAGAGGATCATTCAGAAAAGGGTACCATTCCAAAGAAAAATGTCCAGGATGATAAGTGAACTTGAAATTATCTTACTTGAATACGTAAGAGGGATAGAGATTTCCAACCTGAAGAAAATTTCAGGAAAACATGAAAGCCATCTTCAAATATGTAAAAGACCTTAAGAGAGAAAAATAATGGGATACATCAGTATACTAAAATCAGTTAATGGGAATTATAAAGTAGATTCTGGCTTAACTCAAAGAAGATATTTAAAGAATAATTTTAAGTAGCTACATCTAAAAATGGAACACATTTCCTCATGAAGTAGCTCTCCAACTGGGACGCCTTCAAACAAAACCTGGATGAGCACAATGGGGGATATTGCAAAAGGAATTGAAGTATTGGATAGGAGAGTAGTCCTCAAATGGGATACGTATAAGTAAATGAAGATGTTCTAAATGGTAGACAGTTATAGTTTCAAGGAAGTCAATTTCCACATTCTCAACTGCTGGAAGTACTTATTACTAAAATGCAAAAGGCTTTGTGGTCAAGCAGATTCTCCTTTCCTACCTTTCCTTTCACAATTGCTCTTTACTAGCTTTACAAAAGAAATCTCAAGATTTACCACCACCGTGAAACATTAGAGTATTCTGAATTTAACTATATATTTACCTTACCAGTTTTATAGTTTCACATAATTTCCTGTTACTTATTATCATCCTTTCATTTCAGCTTAAAGAAGTCCCGTTAATGTTCATTATAAGGCTCATCTAGTACTGGTGATAAACTCCTTCAGCTTTTACTTGTCTGAAAAACTATCTTCCCTTCAATTTTGAAGGGCAACTTTGCTGGGTTGAATATTCTTGGTTGGCAGGGGTTTTTTTCCTTCCTTCCTTCCTTCCTTCCTTCCTTCCTTCCTCCCTCCCTCCCTCCCTCCCTCCCTCCCTTCCTTCCTTTCAGCACTTTGAATATATATATATATATATATCATGCCACTCTCTTCTGACTTGCAAAGTCTCTGATGAAAAATTTGCTAATGGTCTTATAGGGGTTCCATTGTGGATAGCAAGTTCTTTTTCTTACTCTTTTAAGATTCTCTCCCTGTCTTCAACTTCTGACAATTCAATTATAATGTGCTTGGTATAGTCTTTTGAGATTCATCTCTTTTGGAA